TTATCATTATTATTGTCACTGCTGTTATTATTATTGCCATTATTATTGTTATTTTTTTATTACTATCATTGCTTTCATTATAATTATTATAATCATTATAATTATTATTATCATTGTTATTGTTATGATCACTATTATTATTGTCATTATTATTATTATCATTATTAATATCAGTATTGCTTCTCTAATTCAGTGCTATTGTTATTAATGAGTTTCTATTTCTGGAGTTATATTTTTTTGATATTATTGATGTTATTTTGTTTGTAATATTATTGATGTCATTGCATCCTTTAGTAATCTTTATTGTCATCGTCTTCATTGCTATTTTATCAACATTTTTGTTCGGCGTCGCTCTGCTTGCAGATGTCAACTTGTTCACATCGTTTGGCGCAAGCAGAACTCGATGAGTTAGCCGATGATCTGCTGAATAATTGCACTATCAACGCTGCCAGTCCACCTGCAACCAATGCGCTGCACTCATTTTTTCTAACAAATCCAGTTCGAAAAAGTCATAAATTTTCCATATCACAGGTATTTTCTCTTCTATTTTATCATAAGTATTTTATTTGTTTCATTTCCGATATAAGAGTTATTGGTTCTTCACAAAAAAAATTTTTTTTACTTCAAATTAGTCTCTGTTAGAGCAATTTTTTTAAAATAAATAACCGCACTTGGTAAGATTTCCAGCTGTTTTTCGCCTATTAATTAGAACTTATGATGCCCGGTGCCGTGTCAAGGCTTCCCCGGTCTGTTGGGGAACTAAACGAAGTGCTAATCTGACCAGCTGAAATCCCATATCTATTAGACTTAGCAATGGTGAACTGTACCCACGAACAGTACGCTAGTGCCAGAATAACGTTAAACCCTGTGTACGAACAAATCGCTCTATCTGTTGTTAACTTCTTCTTAAGAAATACCAAAAGAGCTACAAGCTTTTTCACATGCTTTTTCGACTTCACAATTTTGCGTCTTCGGGAATTCTGCCCATTACAGGCTTCTGGGTGGGGTTAGACTCAAATATTTCGATAAGAGGAGATTTTTGAGGTGAAACCCCCCTCACTATTTGCTCTTTTTGAGAGGCAAAAACATCTGAAAGTACCCAAAGTGGCAGAATTTTCCAACGACAACCATCCGCTGGCAAATCTGTCGATGGTACCCTCATTCAAGTATTGCTTGGAAGCCACCTGAGTGGAGTTATTTTTGATTTTTTCATTGTTTTTTTGTAAGATTTTATTCCCTTGAGCGATAAAACATAGTTCTTTTAATAGGATTATTTGTGCGCGT